GTAGTAGTAGTAGTAGTAGTAGTAGTAGTAGTAGTAGTAGTAGTAGTAGTAGTAGTAGTAGTAGTAGTAGTAGTAGTAGTAGTAGTATTGTTACTGTTGTTGTTGTTGTTGTTGTTGTTGTTGTTGTTGTTGTTGTTGTTGTTTATTCTTTTACCTCTGACATTGAGCTAGCGAATTATTATCTCGTCCAGAGAAGATTTACACCTCTGAGTTGTTTAGTTAATTGTTGTTCCAACGCCACTCTGCTCGCTAGAGCCAAGAGGCGGGTATCCCTAAGCTTCCTAGTCACTGCTAAAGCTGTGAAGTGCAGTTCAGTCATTGTCAGTGAAAGAACACATAAATGAAAAGCTATCGAAACTTTCTATTTCTAGAGAGAAAGTATAACTAATTTGAGAGTAGTTTTCGGGTCGGACAGCACATTAATCAAGTAGGCTACTTTTTTGTCTAGGTGGACCCTCTACCCCTTTCTTCCACAAATATTTGAACGTCACAAAAAATACTTTATCTGTAGACCGTTTTTGTTTCTAAATATGATGAACTATATCAGCTTCAGAAGTTTTCATTATCACGTCTCTTCTGAGACCCTCAGTGACATTTTGGAGAGAGCAACAGAGCATCAATGGACATGTCCGGAATGCAGGGATGTTGCTTCTGTAAACAATGAACAATGAACAATCATTATTACGTTTTACTCAAACTTTTCAAACAGTCGCAAAACATGTTTTTTAAAGATATAAGAATCTTACAACGTTGACAGTAGAAACGGAACAATCTTCCACTACAAATGTGAGGCAGCGTGGTGAAATCAGGCTCTCGACAAAATAATGAAAGTCAAGAAATTCGCATTTTCCCGCAGGTTCAGGAATTTTTATAGAAGTTTCGTTTGATTTTTGGTTCAACACCTTTCCTGCTGTAAGTCAGAAGAAATGTGAATTTTCAGCTTCCATGGACTCTCAAGCTAAAAAAATAACTTTGGCGGCCAATTTCTCGCTAATTTGTCTTCTGAAATCAGATAACCTTTCAACTCCTTCAGTCACACCGATCTCGACTTCTATTCTACATAGATGGATATTGAGACTCCGTATGCTCAAAAATTGATGAGAGCCTGATTCCACCGCGTCATGCCAAAAATGATACTGGCTCCTACCGTAAAGAGGGATGGTGTAGGTGGCAGGGGGTTTGCCATACTGCTCCACGGGGAGGGGATCCTCCTGGAAGATACTGTTGATCTCCTGGGCGCTCACGGCCACACACTGCCACAGGAGGCACGCCCAAACTAGGCGGAGGGACCACATCAGGGCGGCGGGTGGGTGGTTGAGTATGGTTCTGGGGAGAGAGAGTGGGTTGAGGTGAGGTTGAGGGAGAAGAAAGGGATGCGTGGGTGGAAGGAAGGTAGGAAAGGTTAAAGAGGAAGCAATATGTGAAAAGAGGGAGTGATTGGTTGGGGGCGGGGGGGGGGGGTGCAAAGCTAAATGTGAATAAGTCTTGTATTTTGTTAGATACGTGGAAGGGAAGGAAATTATGTAGGTTGCCACTATTGCTTCTGTTATGGCTGTTGTTATTGTTACCGACCTTGTGCATGTGTTTTTGTTGTAACAGTGTGTCCTGCTTCAATGGAAGCTATTGTTAGTGCAATTAAGTATTGCTGGCACTGTTGTTGCCCATGTCTCTCTTGGTAACATTTATAGTTTTGTTTTTATTAACAGTACCACCCCACCCCCAAACCAAAAGCTCCAAAAGAAATACAGTAACCAGTGGCGAAGCGTCTATATAATCAAATAATCACTGCTTCCCTTCTTAATTTTGAAACATTGTCGCAGTCATAGACGTAAACCTCATAAATTAAATGTAAAAAGACGTTCATAATCACCAATGAACAATAGACTATGCCTAACCTTCAAAACCGTTTCATTGCCACAGAAATAGCCTCTTCACCCTTATC